TCCAGCCATCTCATCCTCTGTCGCCCCCTTCTCCTCCTGCCCCCAATCCCTCCCAGCATCAGGGTCTTTTCCAATAAGTCAACTCTTTGCATGAGGTGGCCAAAGTATTGGAGTTTCAACTTCAGCATCAGTCCTTCCAATGAACACCCAGGACTGATCTCCTTCAGGATGGACTGGTTGGATCTCCTTGCAGTCCAAGGGACTCTCAAGAGTCTTCTCCAACACCATAGTTCAAAAGCATCAATTTTTCGGTGCTCAGCTTTCTTCACAGTCCAACTCTCACATCCATACATGACCACTGGAAAAACCACAGCCTTGACCAGACAGACCTTTGTTGGCAAAGTAATGTCTCTGCTTTATAATGCGCTGTCTAGGTTGGTCATAACAGTTGTCCAAACAGTGGCAAGGCTGAGGAAATGGTCAGAAAAGTTGTGCAGGACTGATGTGAAGAAGCTGTCATGTGTTTTCTTTGCTGACATTTCAGGTAAAGAGAAAACTAAGACGTAGAATTGGTTGTGAAAGATGCGAAACTCAGCTTCTCGTGGTCACTTCACTTCTGCTTACACTGGTAAAGCCTCTCAAGTTCAATTCAGTATCTTTTCACTGGCTCCTGTGTCTTGCCTCCTGGGGCTTTCCTGGTGGCTCAGTGGTAAAGAATTCACCTGTCAATAGAGGAGATGTGGGTTCCATCCCTGGGGGCCAGGAAGATCCCTGGGAGATGGAAATGGCAACTCACTCCAGTATTCTTGCCTGGAGAATCCCATGGACAGAGGAGCCTGGCGGGGTACAGTCCATAGGGTCACAAAGAGTTGGACACGATGGAGCACATAGCACCATACATTTTTCAAGTTTTTTTTTTCCTGTTTCATGTTGCTTAACAAAAGCTAAAGAAGCTGTATTTAAGATAAGACTTTTTTTTTTAATTCTAGTAAAATATAACATAAAGCTGACCATTTTAACTATTTTAAAGTATACAGTTCAATAACATTAAGTAAAGTTACATTATTGTGCAACTATCACTACTCTGCATCCACAGATCTCTTTCTTCATCCTAAAATGAACACCTCTTGTCAGAAGTTACTAGTAGGAGAGTGGGGTTGTTGAAGTAGAAAGGAAATTAGAAAGAAAGTATATTCTATATTCTAGTATATTCTATGGCCCTAATAGAAAGAGAATGTGAGCAGAAGGATGTTGACCATGGTTAACAATTTGCCACCAGAAGTCATGAATAGATGTGTAGAGCTGCTGCTGCTGTTGACTTGGTAAGTCGTGTCTGACTCTTTGCAGCTCTTTGTAGCCTGCCAGGCTCCTCTGTCCATGGGATTTTCCAGGCAAGAATACTGGAGTGGGTTGCTGTTTCCTTTTCCAAGTGATCTTCCCGACTCAGGGATCAAACCTGCGTCTCCCGCTTGGTAGGTGGATTTTTTACCACTGGAAATCAGTAGTGAATATTGGAAGGACTGATACTGGAGCTGAAACTCCAATACTTAGGCCACCTAATGTGAAGAACTGACTCATTGGAAAATACCCTGATGCTAAGAAAGACTGAAGGTAGGAAGAGAAGGGGATGACAGAGGATGAGATGGCTGGATGGCATCACCAACTCAATGGACGTGAGTTTGAGCAAGCTCTGTGAGTTAGTGATGGACAGGGAAGCCTGGCATGCTGCAGTCCATGGGGTTGCAAAGAGTCAGACATGACTAAGCAACTGAACTGAACTGAACTGAGCCACCTTGGAAGCCAGAGAGTTCATATCTATTTCATGTGCCTGCAGGGGTCTGAGCCATCCAAGATATAAGTGAAACTCACACATCTGATGCCTCAGCTAGGTTACTTCAGATTGCTAGAGGCTGGCTGGAAGAGCTCAACTTAGGTCATAGAAAACAGGGGACCTTGTTTCTTGCATTTGGGTGGGTTCCTCAAGTCTTCACTATCTAGTCTTGTGCCCTCATCTCTCCATGTAGTTTCTGCATCTGGTTTCTCCCTTAGAGTGGCTGGACCTCTTATACGCTCTTTACCCAGAACATAAGATCTTCCAAAAATCTGCCACACCTTCCAAAAACTTAGACCCAGAACTGGCACAGTGTCACCTAATGATGCATTTTTTTGGTTAAAAGAAGTCACAATAAGATACAAGGCTATTCCAGATTCAAGGGACAGGACTTCCACAACCAAGAGGCATGGTTCATTACAGGCCACCAATGTTAACAATTTACTACACTCAACCTAAAGCCTTTTCCTCCAGCTCTTCCAATTATTCAGTAAACTCTTGCGTTAAATATAACAAATACTTTTCTGCTTGAAATACCTAGTGTAATATTCTGTATACTGTAACAAAGATCTCTGCCTTATGCAATTCCAAATGCAAATATTTTCTCTATGATTAAAGAAAAAAAACCCCATTAACAGTAGCAAGTTTCTCTTCTTCTTACCCCTTCATGTAATTATTCAAATTCCAACATAATCCCTGTAGTTTTTCCACAGTTATTTTTAGGAGCCCTTGTGGTTTTTTCAAATCAGATACTTCCTTCCTAAAAGACCACCAAGCAGCAAGACTAAAGTTGAGTTTTATCAACCTTTCAAAGAAAGGTTATTCTTTTAGTATTTAAAGATGAGTATAAAAATATCCCTGATTCATTATACAAATCCAGTATAATGCTGACACTAAAACATATAAAAGCATTTAAAACACTTACAGATTTTGCCTTCTACAATGATGTCTGGACTTCCAGTCACCAAAGGGTAGTCAGAATAGTCAAAACTGAGTTTCATCCAGGGGGAAGCAATAAACCTTGCCCCTTGAATACAAGTTAAAGGGACCATGGGAAATAATACATAGGTACGTTTTAATTACATTCCGCTGGTTTTCTTGTTCAGTATACCACTTACAGTGCTCATTAAAGATGCAAAAATAGAATTTTGGTTAAAAAAATAGGAAATTAGAAAAAGATACCTTCTTAATATAAAACTAATTTCTAATCAGTCAAAATTAAAGAGATTAAATATAAGAATTAGTTCACATTAGTGCCATGAATAAAAGCTTTTTATCTTTTAAAAAAATATTTATTTATTAATTTGCTTTTAGCTGTGCTGAGTCTTCATTGCTGTGTGGGCTTTTCTCTAGTTGCAGCAGGCGATACTCCCCAGCTACTGTGTGCAGGCTTAGTTGCCCCACAGCATATGGGATTTTCCCAGACCAGGGATTGAACTGGCAACCCCTGCATTGCAAGGCAAGCTTCCAACCACTGGACCACCAGGGAAGCCCTACCACCTCTTTTATTCAAATTGTTCTGAGAATTCTATCCAATGCAGTAAGCTAGGGAACAGAAGTAATCTATAACCACCAAGACCAAGAACTTCCCTGGTGGCTCAGATGGTAAAGAATCTGCCTGCAATGTAGGAGACCTGGGTTTGATTCCTGGGTTGGGAAGATCCCCTGGATAAGGGAAAGGCTACCACTCCAGTATTCTAGCCTAGAGAATTCCATGGACAGAGGAGCCTGGCAGGCTACAGTTCGTGGAGTCGCAGAGTTGGACACAACTGAGAAACTTTCACTCAACTCACTCACCAAGACCAAAGAGAACAAATGATGATTATTTAGAGATAATTATTACCAAAATATCCCAAGAAAATGGCTATTAGAGTTAATTCTGAACTATCGTAACTGCCTATAAGAGAAATACATTCAAAATTAATAACTTTTTAAAAAAATCCGAATAATTATATAAAGGTGAAAATAGGCAAAACTAACTAACCTGACATGATAGCGGTCAGAATAGTGGTTGAGTTTAGAGTAGCAGTTGTAACTGACATGTGGTCCAGTTAGAGAATGTACTGGAGGGAAAATCCCCAAAGCCAAAACTAATCCAAACAAAAACAAACTTTTTAAAGCTAGTAATAAATTTAATAAGAATTTACAAAATTATGGGGCAAAAACTATGTAAGTTTTACTGAAGGAAATAAAAGAAAATTTAGAATGGAGAAATATATTCCTGGCTGGGCGGATTTATTTTATTTTATTTTTTTTGGAATGGATGCTAACAATTTTAATATCCTGTGGACTGAGGCATCATGATTTGGTAATAAGTATCTCACTTCATATTATCCCAACCAAGGAAATCGCCTCTGTCTGAAACGAACACCTTCAAAGATGCATAACTTAATTGTACTTAAAAAGAAAGGAAACAATATTTCTATCTCAGATCAGAAAAAAGGAAAAAAATCTTTCCTTGGAGGCACATGGAGTCTCTTCTGTCTTGTCACAAGCTGGGTTGACTGGCAGGTCCTCAGTGAAACCTAGAGGGACACAGAGTAGCTGTGAGAACAGTGGTGAGGCTGCTCAGGAATCATGCAGGGGTTATTCTCTTTGTGTGGACATGGGGTGGTGTGTAAGGATGTGGGAGGTTAATAAGCATGGACTGAACTTGTGTTCATCCATCCTCTTTGGAGGAGGAAGGAAAGTAAAGGAGAGGTGGAAGGAGATGAAGGCAGATCTTTGGCGTTCTAGCTAGAGGAACCTAATCAACACGAAGTATTCAATCTAAACAATGGAAAACTCTAAAATGTAAGTACTGTTCAATGAAAGAGACCCATGACTACTCCTGCTCATTTTGAGCTCCTGGTAAATTGCCACTGTCTCTTGATTTTTCCCAGATCACTATTCCTCTGAGATCCACAGTTGCTGCTACTCTGTTCATCAGGATTTCTACAAGGCTTTGTAATTGATTTAAAGTAAACTCTGTTACAGGGCTGAATTCAATCCTGGCAAAGTATACTATGCTATTAATTCACTAATTAATTGTCTTAAAGAAAAGCAAATACACAAGATTTTATATTACTGAATTCCTAGCACTTAAAAATAGCCATTATGAATAATATAGAATTTATCTATCAATATNTCATGGTGATGGGAAATCTGGGGGGAAGTTGACCCCAGTAACAGTGACGTTTAGGGTGACAAATATTTAGGAAAACACAAAACAAAAACATTCACAGACACATGAAGAATCACACTATTCATTACACACAGATACACACCCAGTCCCATGGACACAAACCTACACTATTAACCATAACACAGCTTCTTCCTGGGACTACAGTAATCAGCCACATTGCTCTACTTATAAATTACTTTCTATCATTAGGGCCCCTATACTCATTGCCCCCATGAATTTTGAATCAGTTTGGCCTCTACACTAAAGCCAGAGAGAAAGCCCCAACTTTCTCATCTACAAATTTTTCTCCTAAAATGAATGATTCTAGAATACATACTACTTTCACATTCTGAAAGAGTCACCTGCAAGTACAGAAGAGAAGACACTATGAGGATAAGATCACATAGATGCACAGTCTTTGGTTCATTTGGTGACAGTTCCTGATGAGGAACAGTGGTGAAGTCCATGGAACCCATCACTATCAGAACACACATACTCAGGATGAAAGGCAAGACCTTTGCCTGGAGGATGGAACTTCCAAGTTCATTTGGATTGGAAATTGCAGAATTCTTTTCTTAGAGGAAATTTTGCTGCAGGAGAGAGAACTATGTACTCTACAGGGTGTAATGGATGCTAACAATTTTAGTATCCTATGGAATGAGGCATCATGATTTGGTAATAAGTATCTCACTTCACATTATCCCAACCAAGGAAATCGCCTCTGTCTGAAACGAACACCTTCAAAGATGCATAACTTAATTGTACTTAAAAAGAAAGGAAACAATATTTCTATCTCAGACCAGAAAAAAGAAAAAAACCTTTCCTTGGAGGCACATGGAGTCTCTTCTGTCTTGTCACAAGCTGGGTTGACTGGCAGGTCCTCAGTGAAACCTAGAGGGACACAAAGTAGCTGTTAGAACAGTGGTGAGGCTGCTCAGGAATCATTCAGGGTTTTTCTCTTTGTGTGGACATGGGGTGGTGTGTACGGATGTGGGAGGTTAATAAGCATGGACTGAACTTGTGTTCATCCATCCTCTTTGGAGGAGGAAGGAAAGTAAAGGAGAGGTGGAAGGAGATGAAGGCAGATCTTTGGCGTTCTAGCTAGAGGAACCTAATCAACAGGAAATATTCAATCTAAAAAATGGAAAACTCTAAAATGTAAGTACTGTTCAATGAAAGAGACCCATGACTCCTCCTGCTCATTTTGAGCTCCTGCTAAATTGCCACTGTCTCTTGATTTTTCCCAGATCACTCTTTCTCTGAGATACACAGTTACTGCTACTCTGTTCTTCATGATTTCTATAAAACTTTGTAATTGATTTAAAGTAAACTCTGTTACAGGACTGAATTCAATCCTGGCAAAGTATACTATGCTATTAATTCACTAATTAACTGTCTTAAAGAAAAGCAAATACACAAGATTTTATATTACTGAATTCCTAGCACTTAAAAATAGCCATTATGAATAATATAGAATTTATCTATCAATATCCATTTTCTATAAAGTGTGTGAATTTCCACTGATCCAGTAGCTGTCCATACGCACAGGGGAAATCTAGTGAGTGGGACAGTTGATTATAGAAAGCACAGTTCCTCCAGCACGTATTCCTGGGGAGCTAGAGGGACAGAGTAGAAGTTAGGACACTGGTGAGGCTATTCCCCAATCACTCAGCTTTTACTCTTTTTTGATACAGACAAGGGGTGGAGAGTATGCATGAGGGAGCTAAACAAATATGGAATAAGCTGCTGTTGAATCATCCACTTTGCTGGATGAAGGAGTGCAAAGGAGAGGAGCAGGAAATAATGAAAGAGAACCTCTGCATTTTGGGAAAAAAGAAATACTAAAACGCATGCCACCTTTCAATGACAGAGACTCATGAACCCCCTGGCTGTTTACATCTTCTGCAAAACAACCCCTATCCAGAAGGATTTCTTCCTAGATCACTGCCTCCCCAGGATTCAGTTACAGCTATTGCACTTACTGAGTTTTCTGAGAGATTTTGTTCTTGATATAAAGCAATCTCTGTTAGAGGACTGAATTCAATTCTAACTTGCCAAATAGATTTTAAGCTAGAATCATTCAGGTGATGTTTCTTGCCAGTCTTAATTGTCCAAACAATATTTGTGTGTCCCTGAATGAGTGTCTGTTGACACTCAGAGAAGCCATACATTGAGTGGGACCGTTCATTATGGAGAGAAAGCATGGGTAAACGTTGAATTTCTTGGACTCAGGTATGCAGGAGGTTTACTAGAGTCAATGTCACCAAGCAGACTGTCAAGTTCCACCATGAGATCTGTTTGACACCTTCCCTTGAGAGTGTGCTGCAGGGTTGACCCAATGTAAGGCTTATGGTGTTGTCACCCAGTACAATGAAATATCTCCCTGATGGTAATCTGTGTTTGTCCTTGGTTAAGTAATAACAAGAGCACCAACATATTTGGCCTGCCCTGTCTAAACCAGGGCATACAACTCCCAGATCTGTGGACTGACCAGGAGCATGTCAGTCCCTAGGTACCTTTGACAATAATGACAGTGCCAAAGTTGGTGATAATCTGCTTCTATTTGCCCTGGGTTCCTTGACCACTGAGATCATCTTACAATGATGGACACAGTCTGGACCTCTGGAGCTCTAGTACCTCCAGGCAAAAACACAGATGCAGGGGCCCCTTGTTCCATGACTAGGATTTCAACACTGAGTGATAAGTGTAGGTCCAGAGCAGTCACACTGGGAGTACCCCAAGTTTCTCAGTTTGGCTTTTCAACACAGCAGGGTCAAGAGCTTGGGCCATTGTCCTCAGCACCTTCTTCACTTGAGGAAAATGAATACTAACCAAACATGGGGAATGGCTGAGCTGAGGAAAGAATCAAGTAATGTATAGTCAGTGTGCACTGGTGATGAGAATTATTTAGAAAGTTCACAGGTGACTTTTGCTTTGTAAGAGGGAAACATCTCCTGAGGAAACACACACAGACACAGAGCTTCAGAATCATACCACTAGGCCCACACATGGGCCCCCAACCCCGATTCACACAAACACACAGCATCTGAATGATGTAGTTGCTTCCCGGTACCATAGAACCAAGACATTGTTCTTTCCCGGGAGATCAGTCTCTTCTATGCACCTCCAGCCCACACCCCAAGCAGGGATCCAGCATCAGGGCCACTCTCCAACCAGAGCCAGTCAGAGAACCCCAGCTTTATCAGATGGATTGTACCTCAGCAGAGTGTTGATCCCTGAACATTTACGTGTTCATTGGCTTCCCTGAATTCCTGTGATTGGAGAGAAGGAAACAGAGTGAGGTGTCAGCATCTTGAACCTCCTGCACTAAGTTTTCTGTCATGTGGTTTGTCTCCTCAGATAACTAAAACTCTTTATTCTAGTGACTCCAAAGTACAACAGAGAGTGTGCTGTCAGAAAGTCTGATTCACATAAGATCTCTCAATTTCAATGTGTCCAACAGTAACACATTGCTTTTCAAGAAAGAGAAATTTCTGCTGAGCAAAGTACCTACAGTAGTAAATGATACTCTTTTTTAAATGTCATTTGGAAATAGGTCTGTGCTGATAACAGATATATCCTCACTCTTTTCCCAGCCAAGGAATTACATGCCTCAGTGGGAATGTAAATTGTCAGATGACTATAACTGTATTTGTCTGAATAACACATAAAGTGAAGCAACAATCTTGTCCCAGATAAAGAAAGGTGCACTTACGTTCACATTACTCAGAGCCTTTACGTCAGTCAGGTCCGGGAAGACTTCCACGACCAGATTCTCCTGGGGAGCTAGAAGGACAAGGAAGAGACATTGGGACACTTGTGAAGCTGCTCACTAATCACTCAGGAACCTTTTTTGGGAGGTGAGGTCATGGGGTGGAATGTATGCTTAAGGCATCAGTAACTTGGGACTGAGTTGCTGTTGAATCATCCTCTTTGTTGCATAAATAAGAGCAAATCGGAAGAGCAGGAAATAATGAAAGAGAACCTCTTCATTTAAACTAGTGATAACCTAACAGATCGGGAAAAAAAGAAACACTAAAACGCATGCCACCTTTCAATGACAGAGACTCATGAGCCTCCTGCCAGTTTACATCTTCTGCAAAACAACACCTATCCAGAAGGATTTCTTCCTAGATCACTGCCTCCCTAGGATTCAGTTACAGCTATTGCCCTTACTGAGTTTTCTGAAAGTGTTTCTTCTTGATTAAATCAGTCTCTGTTAGAGGACTGAATTCAATTGTAACTTGCCAAATAGTTATTAAGCTAGTATCATTCAGGTAATGTTTCTTGCCAGTCTTTATTTCCAAACAACATTTGCACGTCCCTGAGTCAGTGGCCATCCACACTCACACAAGTCTTACATTTAGTGGGGCAGTTCATCATGGAGAGGACGCACGGGGTGAACCTGACTCTCTCTGACCCAGCTGTGCCGGAGATTTACAACAGGAGTCATCATGACTAGGCAAACTATCAAGTTCCACCATGAGACCTATTTGACACCTTCTTTTGAGTGTGTGCTAAAGGGTTTAATCAATGTAAGGCTTGTGGTAATGTCACCCAGTAGAATGAAATTACTCTTTGAAGATAATCTGCTTTTTTCCTTGTTTAAGCAATGACACTAGCACCAAGAGATATGACCTATACTGTCTACACGAGGCCAGAGAACACTCAGAATCTGAAATGACCAGGATAAAAGTCTTGAGGTGTGTTTCACACTAATGACTTTCCCAAATTAGGTGTTAATCTACCTATTCTTGCCCTGGGTTGCATGACCACTGAGCCCAGCTTATAATGATGGGCAGGATCTGGGCCTCTGGAGCCGTCAATACCTCCAGTCATAAACATAGATGCAGGGATGCCCTTGCTCCATGACAAGAATTTCAAAGCTGAGTGGTAAGTTCAGGTCAGGGGTCCAGAACAGTCACACCGGGACCACCCGAGGTTCTCAGTTTGGCTTTTCCATTTAGGAGGTCAAGAGTTTGGGCTATTTTTCTCAGCACCACCTCCATCTGAGGAAAATGAATATTAACCAAACTTGAGGAATGGCTGAGTTGAGGAAAGAATCAGGTAATGTACAGCCAGCGTGCAGTGCTGATGAGAAGTGCTTAGAAAGTTCACAGTTGACTTGTTGTGTGTGAGACGGAAATATCTCCTGAGGAAATACACACACGGAGAGTTTCACAATCACACCACATGGGTCCACACCTGGGCCACCAGGCCTGATTCACCCAAACCCACAGCATCCAAATGATGTAGCTGTTTCCAGGAACACAGAACACAGACATTGCTCTTTCCTTGAGACCAGTCTCTTCTCTGCACCCCCAGCCCTCACCCCTTGTAGGAATCTGGGCACCTCTGTACCCAGATCCAGCAATGAAGTTCCGCCTTTGTAACTAGATTGTTCCTCAGCAAAGCCATAATCCCTGATTCCTTACCATTTTCATGGGCTGCTCCACATGCCTGTGATTAGAGAGAAGAAAACAGTGTGAGGGTGACAGCATCATGTGGTCTCTGCAGTAAGTCTTCTGTTATCTGATTTTTGTCCTCCAATATCTAAAACTCTTTAAGTCAATGGCTCCAAAAGAAAACAGAGAGGACTCACGTTGAAAAGCCTGGACTCTTTCAAGAAAGAGCTCTCAGTTTCAATGTGAACAAGAATTACAAAACTATTTTTCAAGGAGGAAAATTCCTACTGAAAAAAATACCTACAGTAGTAACTGATGCTGTCTTTTTTAGGAGGAGCAGGAAATAGTGAAAGAGAACCTCTGCATTTTAACTAGTGATAACCTCACAGATCGGAAAATAAGAAATACTAAAATGCATGATACCTTTCAATGACAGAGACTCACGAACCTCCTGCGTGTTTACATCTTCTGCAAAACAACACCTATCCAGAAGGTTTTCCTCCTAGATCACTGCCTCCCCAGGATTCAGTTACAGCTATTGCACTTACTGAGTTATCAGAGAGATTTTGTTCTTGATGAAAAGCAGTCTCTGCTAGAGGACTGAATTCAATTCTAACTTGCCAAATAGCTATTAAGCTAGAATCACTCAGGTAATATTTCTTGCCAGTCTTTATTGTCCAAGCAATACTTGCGCGACCCTCAGTGAGTGTCTGCTGACACTCAGAAAAGCCATACATTGAGTGGGACAGTTCATTGTGGAGAGAAAGCCCGGGGCAAACGTTGAATTTCTTGGACTCAGGTATGCAGGATGTTTACTAGAGTCAAGTCACCAAGCAGACTGTCAAGTTCCACCATGAGATCTATTTGACACCTTCCCTTGAGAGTGTGCTGCAGGCTTGAGCCAACCTAAGGCTTATGGTGTTGTCACCCAGTACATTGAAATATCTCCCTGATGGTAATCTGCTTTTGTCCTTGGTTAAGCAATGACACTAGCACAAACAGATTTGTCCTGTCCTGTCTAAACCAGGGCATACAACTCCCAGCTTTGTGAAGGTATTCAGGTGGCCAAGAGGAACATTAAAAGGCACTGAACATCACTAATTATTAGAGACATACAACTGAAAACTACAATGAGGTATCAGCTCATAGCAGTCAGAATGGCCGTCATCAAAAATCTGCAAACAATAAATGCTGGAGATGGGGTGGAGTAAAGAGAAGCCTCATTCATTGTTGGTGAGAATGTAGATTGGTATAGCCACTATGAAAAAGAGTATCAGTTCAGTGCAGACCATCAGTTGGGTCTGACACTATGAAGGATCTGAAAAGACTAAAAATAAGAGATACCATATGATATAGTAATCTTACCCTTGGGCATATTTCCAGAGAAAACCATAATTTGGAAAGATACATGTTCCCCAATGTCCGTTGCAGCACTATTTACTAGAACCAGAAGACGGAAGCAACTAAATGTTCCTCAGTGGAGGAATAGATAAAGAATATGTGGCTCATATTTACAATGGAATATTAGCGACTCATAAAGAGAACAAAATAATGCTATTTGTGCAACATGGATGAACTTAGAGATTGTCATACTGAGTGAAGTCTGATATAGAAAGACAAATATCATATTGATAGGGTAACAGGCAGGAAGGCCAGGGGTCTCCAAATGGAAAAAAGAAGCTGCAGGTGCCAGACATTTTTATCTCTCTTAAGCGGCTGGAAGAAACAAACCAGCGATATGTCTTTCCTTCTCTATACAAATTTAAAAGAGGTTTCACTTAAAGTGCTGTGTTGNGAGTGTGGGATTAATATACACATAGTATTATATATAAAATAGATGACCAACAAGTACATACTATGGAAAACTCTTAAAGAGATGGGAATACAGAACATCTTGCCTATCTCATGAGAAATGAGTATGTAGGTCAAGAGGCAACAGTTAGAACTGGATGTGGAATAATGGACTGGTTCCAAATTGGGAAAGGAGTACATTAAGGATGTATATTGTCATCCTTCTTATTTAACTTATATGCAGAGTGACTCATGTAAAATGCTGGGCTGGATGAATCACAAGTTGTAATCAATCTCTACAGGGGAAATATCAGCAACCTTAGATATGCAAATGCTACCACTCTAATGACAGAAGGTGAAGAGGAACTAAAGAACCTCTTCATGAGGGTGAAAGAGGAGAGTGGAAAAGCTGGCTTAAAACACCATTCAAAAAACTAAGATTGACTGGTTTAATTTCCTTGCCATCCAAGGGACTCTTATCCAGCACCAGCACAGAGATCAAACCAGTCAATCCTAAAGGAAATCAACCCTGAATAGTCATTGGAAGGACTAATGCTCAAACTAAAGCTCCAATACTTTAGCTACCTGATGCAAAGAGCCGACTCATTGGAAAAGCCTTGATGCTGGGAAAGATTGAGGACAGAAGGAGAAGTTGAGGGGACGGTCAGAGGATGAGATGGTTAGATAGCATCAACAATTCAAAGGACACAAGACTGAGCAAACTCTGGGAGATAGTGAAGAACAGGGAAGCCTGGTGTGCTGCAGTTCATGGATCACAAAAAGTCTCACATAGCTTAGAGACTGAACAACAATGAAGTGAGCTCTTCAAAAAATGACCTGAAACTGGCATGTATACAAGAGAAAATCTGAACATGAAGAAGGGCCATCTCAAGTACTACCAAGAAGATAAATCCAGTTTCCAAAGAATTGTAGGTCCTTGTTCTAATGAAGTCACACTCACTTTAAGTAATATTTATGAATTGCTTTGTGGTTTGAAAAATGTTTTCACATATATTCTATCATTTACATTCACAGAGCTTTGTGAGGAAAATATATTTCTTTTACAAATGAAAAAAAATGTCTTATGGTTTAAAAAACAACTAAGATCATGGCATCTGGTTCTATTATTTCATGGCAAATGGAAAGGGAAAAAGTGGAATTAGTGACAGATTGTATTTTGGGGGGCTCCAACATCACTGCAGATAGTGATGGTAGCCATGAAATTAAAAGCCTTTAATTTTTAGCTTGTTTCTTGGAAGAAAAGCTATGACAAACTTAGACAGCATATTAAAAAAGCAGTGACATCACTTTGCCAATGAAGATCCATATAGTCAAAGTTATGGTTTTTCCAATAGTCATGTACGGATTTGAGAGTTGGACCATAAAGATGGCTGAGTGCTGAGGAGTTGATGCTTTTGAACTGTGGCACTGGAGAAAACTCCTGAGAGTCCATTGGACAGAAAGGAGATCAAACCAGTCAATCCTAAAGGAAATCAACACTGAATTTCATTGGGAGTACTGATGCTGAAGCTGAAGCTCCAATACTTTGGCCACCTGATGTGAAGAGCTGATCATTGGAAAAGACCTTGATTCTATGAAAGGTGGAAGGTGGGAGGAGAAGGGAGTAGCAGAAGATGAGATGGCTAGCATCACTGACTCAGTGGGCATGGTTTTGATCAAACCCCAGAAGAGAGTATAGGACAGAGGATGCTGGCATGCTATAGTTCATAGAGCCACAAAGAGCTGGACATGACTTAAGTTACTGAACAAAACAATAACATTGTAAAAAGAGGATATTTGTCCTTCTGAATGAGTTCTCATCATCAATCCTTGCTCTGGTTTGAAAGATTTTATGTCTAACTATCTGCAACCAACATACTATAAGCCTATGGTGATATATTCACACTGTGAGTGAGGGGGCATAGTGTCGAGTTGCACTGTTCAATACAGTGGCCACTAGGTCCATGACTTTACTTAAATTTAAATTACTGAAAATTAAGTAAAACTGAAAATTCATTTCCTAAATTACAGTAGAACTTTTTACATGCTCAATAGCCACACGTGGCTATGGGCTAACATCGTACTGTGCTAATATATTAATAGAACATTTCTGCTATTACAGAATGTTCCATTGGATAGTGTTGGCCTAGAAAATCATAAAGAAACTGCACTGGAAACATCAGATTAAATCGACCCTGAAGCTTGCCCTACCTCTGGACTTCCAGATGTGTGAACCAATAAGTGCCATTGT